GAGGTGGGACACCGTCTGGACCTGGACCCTTAAAAGACTGCAGGCTACATAGTTCTCCATAAATAACTGATATTGAGATGTTAAATTCATGAATATGTGCATCGCTCCGAGAGATGTCCTGACTAGCAACACAGATTTTGTTGGAATAAACAGAATGGAAGTATTCAGCAAAGAGATTAGCTATCTCTGAACCATTTTTGGCAATGTTGCTATTATAAAACATGTGAGACGACAAACCATTCGCTTTTCGCTTGGCATTGATAAAACTCCAGAAGTGTTTGAGGTTGTGATCATTCAGCAGTGACATTTCAGAGCGCTGCACATAATTCAGATAGGAGTCCTTTGAAAGAGTCTTACACCGAGTGCGAAGATTCGAGAAGTTGTCATAGTCACTAGGAGAGCCAGTCCGCTTCCAGGTTCTGTGTGCTTTTTTCTTCTTGATTATGAGTTCCTTTAGGTCGAAGGGAAACCATTTAGGAAATTTATGGGTGGAAAGCATTTTCTTTGGTACAAAGCAGTCAATAGCAGTGTAAAGAATGTCATAACAAATACTGACCATTTCTGCTACAGTTGGGCCTTGGAGTAAAGCATCCCAGTTGATCATACTTAGATGATCATTGAGAAGTGCATACTCGGCAGATTTAAAATCATGGTAGTACTCATCAGGTTGCGGGTAGTCTGAGTTACACTGCTGGGTCTCGGCGCATAATATGTTTAATATTAATGCAGGGTGATATGAATCAATAGGGAGAAGGATGTCATCTGCCAAGGTGCAGGTGTCATCAGGATCCTGACTAAACATCAGGTCTAACAGAGAGCCATGCGCATTGTGGAACTTGTTTATTTGAAACATGTTATGGTAAGCACTCATGTTGGATAGGTACTCAGTAGCTGCGCGCTCTGAGGGAATAGCGGAGGGGGTTGCAGTAGCACTTGAGCTCAGGTCGTCATCAACCCATTGTGCTTTGGGTAAGTTAAAATCCACAAATATGCAGAGCTTGTAATCAGGAAATGTTTTAGATAAAGTATCTACTGAGTCTGAAAAACACTTATAATTATCTCCATTAGATTTCGGAGGTAGGTATACAGCTCCAAGCAATAGTTTACTATTAGCAGACTGCACTCTTACAAATAACTGCTCAATGGTTGAGGCTGATTCACAAATGGAACTGAGAATGTTATTCCGGACAGCTATTAATACACCTCCCCCCCTTAAGGATGTGCTTGTTGCTGGAGTTCGGTCACTTCTGTAAATATTGTAATTAATTGTAATGCCTTTGCGAGTCGATTTGCTCTAATTTAATACTGGTTTATACAGTTGTTAGTAGCAATTTTTAGTGTGCCGATCAGAAAATAGATGGAGACCCTGTCTTCATTTTACTAATATTGTAATTGTCCATGCCCAGTTCTACATCAAGAAAGTTATCACTCGACCACGTTTCTGTAAAAGCGAGTACTTGGTATGCAACTAAAGGAATGGAACTGATTAGTTTTTCCAATTTAGTACGCAAACCACGCACGTTCTGATAGTAGACTGATACAGAACTATTTAGTTTGCAAATACCTCCTGATTGACGGCTAGATTCTGAAAATTCTGGGGCGAATGAAAATCAGCACCAGGGTCATTTTTTGATGTGTCAAGTTTTTTCTTGAAGTTGAATCTACGAAAGATCACACCACTAGGCCAGAATTCGCAGGAGTTCATAGCATTGTAGTGAATGGGAATGACACCAATTTTGAAAGAATTGGTTTTCCCTATAGTTTTAAGCTGATCAATAATTAAGTTTTCCTCACTAATATTTGGCAGTTTTTGAGTTATGTACCTGCGAATTTTAGCAGCTTCCACTGACTGGGCCACCTTTCCGACGTAAAACCACATCTTGTTTCCTTTTGAAGATATAAATTCTTGATTTATTTCAACCTTTGAGGTACCACGAAACTGTTTCCTTCTACCACGATGATAACTAACTGTAGAAAAACCATCGTTGTCTCCAGCATGATTCATATTGCTTATAATTGCATTATTAATTGCCTGATTCGCGTTTGTCAGCGAAACAGTTTCAACCTTAGACAAGGAAAGAGAGAGGACGCGTAACATCCTTTACCTGCACTAGCAGCTGGTTGTGACTGTTTGTCACCAAATAATGGCGACAATTTTTCATGGTGCCACTATGTGAATTTTACTTCAGACTAACATTTTTGTGATATTCAGTATGGTGGATTGCTGGCGTATGGCTGCAAAACCCGCAGAGAAAAAAAAGTCAACGGGATTACATTTAACAGGCAAAAAACAATATGCTTTCTAGGTTATGTTATGAAAAAAGCAGACATTTTTTGGTGACAAACTGCTTCATTTTCACCTGCTGTGTTACGAGTCCCCTCTCTTTCCTTGTCTAAGGTTTCAACAATTTTACTACTATGGCCATTGTTTACATTGTCGTTAGAGGTTAAGGACTCGCCCTGGGTCCCGGCGCAAGTGTCACCAGTCTTATTCGGGTTTGGAGTCACCGAACGCTCTTGGGTTACACCAGGGCCAGAGGTCGAGTAAGTAGAACTGGTAGAACGCCCGCCTGCAGGATCGCGGCTTACAGTTACACTTTGGCTTTGTTTACGTTCTTTTTCTAGGTTAGAGATACGTTCCACCAAAAGACGGTTATTTTCCTTCAAAACTGTGTTCTTATCGGCCATTTCATCGATAAGCCTTTTTAGTAGACTCATTTCAGTATTTAATTTGTCGTTTTCATATTTTAGTTTTGAGGAAACATCTTTGTTTACATCTGATAAGTCAACTTTTGGCGGCAAATCACTGCAATCACAGCACTGGACACCGGACTTGCTGATAAACTTTAATGGCGTTTTCCATTTGTTGCACGGAGGTGCACTCAGTGCAATTTTTATATTCCATTTGACTGCACATTTTCAGTTTTCATTTTCCATTTGAAATTCAGTGCAATTATTTATGCACTCAGTGCGCATTTTTTGGCACGAGCTAGGAAGGCTGGTGGAGAGCCAGTGTAAAAATGTCTGCTAATTTCCAAAGAAAAAGTTGTTGCACTTTTGGATTTGATATGTAGCAGCAGCGAAGTTGAATTCTATGACGAAATTATATTATTTGAACGTATTCCGCAGCTTATCCACGTTGTTTTTAGATATACCTATTATTATTTATTATTGTTGTTTAAAAATATTGTCTGATGCGAAGTAGGTACTTTAAATTATTTATGGATAGTCAATTTCTTCTAAATTTAACGGCGGATGAAACCGCGGAAAAGAACTAGAAGAAGCTGTTATTTCAAATAGATGATCTGGACCATCGAACTAAATAGTTATTTAGTATGACTTCTTCTTCATTAACTCTAGAATTCATTTCAAATACATCAATTTTTTAAATAGTTTTTGTAGTTCACTCTAGAACCATAGAACGACATCCCAGATTAAACTTATTAATATTACAATTTTATAGGCTGTTCATTTGTACTGCTTTTCTTGTTTCAAGCAGATCTCATCAGCTGATCGGCGTTCACTTGTCCCATAACTCCCATATAATAAGCTCGTAAATAGCAGCTCCTAGCATATCTTCCTGATTTTGCGAGTAGGTAGAGTACAAATGAACAGCCTCTATACTATAAAACATGCAGAGCAGGTAACCAGAAACCGGCAAATGCTAAACAAAAACAACTAACCAACATAAGATTTTACATAACCCCAGAATCCGAGCCGAGTCTGCATTTTTGCTTTCCATTTATACTGCACTGGTGCGCGTTTTTGACAGCACTAGAAAAATTCTCGTGCGCACTGAATGCTGCACTGAGACGACAAATGGAAAACGCCATAAGTTTTTCCTTCTTGCACAGCTACCATGGTAAACTTCTTCACACACAACACAAAAATAGGACTTGCACGACTTTTTAGCACAACATTTGTATTTTCTAACACTATCTTTGGCACTAATAACGCTATTTACGCTAGCCGAATCTGACTCAATGTCATCATCGGACGCCATCTTGTTGGATGTGGAAGATGAAATTTTTTGCAAGTTTTTGTGTGGAGAGTATACGAAAAACTGGTGTTTATCAGTCAAAATTTTGACAGGTCGACATATTTTACGTCACTAATAAATGTCAACATAGGCTAAGGCCAGGACCGCACTGGCGCCAACATTGACCCCAGTGCGGTCCCATCCTTAAATTGATTGACATTAATTTTAAAGTGACATAAAATATGTGAACCTGTCAATATTTTGTCTGATGAACACCAGTAGCACCAGTATTTCGTATACTCTCCACACAAAAAGTCGCAAAAAAGTTCATCTTTCAACGCTCATATCTCAAAGACCGTAATACATACAAGATTTCGTCCGATTTAGAGGTTGTTCAGAATTAAATCCTCTACAACATATCAAAAAATGGGCAAAATCCATAGAGCCCAAAAATCCCATGTTAGGTGTGCGTTATCCTTAGGTAATTATGTATATGTCAAATGTTGTAATATTTGTTGAGTTTATTATGGCGTTTCCGATTGGTAGATTCAGTGCGCACTGAGTGTAATTGCATCCTTTTAATCGACCTGTAGAAGAAAAAGACAGAAATAGAAAAAATTGCACTAGATCTACCAACCGGAAACGCCATTAGTTTCTGAGCCTGTACGAAAATTGCTGGCCTTAAATTGGGCAATTTTTTTTTTTTTTTATTATGTTATTATTATTGTATTTTATTTTGTTTTTTGTTTGTACTGCTAAATTTATTGTGCTTTGTCTATAAAAAATTTGTATTTTTTCGACAATAAAGCTTATTGAATCTTGAATCTTGCTCACACTGTGGCAGCCTCTCGAGGCGTCCTCGTGGAGCAGCCTTGCAAAGTCCGCACGCAACTTTAAAATGGACTCAAAAATCGTCCCGTGAAATATTGGCATTCAATTTAGAAAACACCCTGTATAACATTGATTCGTTAATATTGAGATTGATATTTTTTGTTTTTTGAAGATTAATGATTTTACTTACAGGTAAGGCAGCAATTCTCTTACAAATTTGTTGTTTAGGGTTGGTGGGGCACTTGGCTATGACGATATCGCCTCTTTTCATCGACTGAGTAAGCACCGATACGTGCTCGGTAAATAGAATATCGTCGGAAGCAATTGTCGGTTCCATCGAAGGGCCTGAGCACTGGAATTCGATAAGAATGAATTTTTAATTCAGTTCTGATTGACAACTTACCAGGACGAAATCGCCTACATATTCAAAGGTGCAATGAACTACACATCCGTATTGAAAAACGTAGCCTAAAGTACCTAGGAGTTTAACTAAATGGTCTCTCATTTTATTTTTTTTTTGTTTTTTTGGATTTTTTGTAAACAATAATCCTAACCTTGGAAAAATTTTTGTTGGTTATGTCATCGAAGTAAGGTTGGTTGAACACAATAACCCTTTTCACGTGGCTCCGGTTTAACAAACCGCAACATACCGCTCAAATTCGAGTGGTTGGTATCCATCACGTCACTTTGTAACCGGGTTAGAAAAAGGTATGTCATTTCCATCGAGCTTTAAACTGTGTGCGTTGAATGGTCGAAGGTCATTTCTCTAACCGTTTTGTAACCCGGTTAGTTAAACCGGAGCCACGTGAAAAGAACTATTGGTTGAACATTTGACATTATATTATCTAATAAATATATCGATATCGCGGAATAAATATATCGATATCTTACAACATTAGGTCTGTTTCTGGCGTTTCTGCAGAAATCACAAACCAGTCAGAGTGAATTTCATTGGTTGAAAACTAGTTTTCTGACTGTTTCTGACCGTTTTCAACCAATGAAATTCGCTCTGACTGGTGTGTGATTGCTGTAAAGACTACAGTGGTAAAGACAGACCTATTAATTTTTGAGATAAGAAGATGAAATGAGATCGAAGCTTTTTATTCGATGTTGGATGTTGCTTTTTGTTAAGGAGTAGAAGTCGAGAACTATCAATAGTACACGGTCAATAGCAATATCGAAAATTATCTGGAAAAGAAAATCGATTGTTGTCGATAGTAATAGTAATCGACATAAGGTGAGTTCGGAATGGTAGAAAGTATCGACACTATGGCGTTCGTTAATTGGTAGGAGTGTTTGGTGTACACTTTTTATGCGTTTGGAAATGATTATTTGGTGTCCGAATGGTGTGAAGATGGTGGGACACCGTTTACTCAGTACTAAATGATCGTGAATTCAGTGTTACACCGCCAATTACACCTTCATCACGTGATATAACACAAGTAAAACACTGCACTGCACTACACGAATACCGCACTAGCACTGCACTAAAATCCCATTCCCAACTCAACTTAGTACAGTGAATTACTTTTTGATTTGATTTGTATTTGATATATCGATATATCGGTCATCATCGGAAATCGGACTTTAATAAATATATCGATATCGCAAAAAAAATGTATATCGATACTTTAATTTGACAACGTTGGATTTTAGTGACGTCACGTCAGCTGATTTTTGTTTACAATTTTTGACCCCTAACCTAACAAAATTCTATACTTTTTCATAATTTTATTTTTATATTTTTGGGGTGAATAATTGAACAAATAACATGGGAATGCAAGCAGAAGGTCTATCACACGTTAAACCAGACGTGGATTACAGCCAAGTAAGTGTTCTCAATTGGAAAAAGTAAAAATTATTTTGCTTACGACGACCGTACAGTAAAGTGCACTTTAACGCACTTATTTGCAAATGGGAAACAGCACTTTACCATACCCTATTCGGTAAAGTAGATTGCAAAACGTATGGTGAAGTTACTGCACTGCATAGTGTGTATTAGTGCAAAGGAACTTTATACAACAATAACAGGCAACTTTTCAAGCACTAGTGTGTAAAGTGAATTACTTTACTCACTAGTGCGTCAAATGTAAATTAACATCCTGTGAAGAGTATGTAAAGTAAGTACTACATGCCCATTTGTAGAAATAATACAACAAAGTGTGTTAAGTGAATGTTTTTTCACGAATCTGCATTTTGACATGAGTGAAAAACAAGGTCCTTTACACACCTGTTGCATACAAATGTATTTTTTTAAAGTACTTTACGCCCTATTCAGAAGATGTACAATTATATATTACGCACTAGTGCGTAAAGTAATTCACTTTACATACTTACTAGTACCTAGTAGTAAACAATATTTATTGAACTAATTGTTCAAAGGGCCATCGAGCGAGGTCTTTCAGCCTTTGATATCTTAAATTTTATATATATTTACAAATATACTAAGTATAAATACAGGGTGTCCCACAGTGGATGGCCTATTAGACGTTTATAGAGAACTAAAAAGCGGATCATTTTGAGAATTTGACAACCGGGATAAACGACCATTGTTTAGGACCAGCCTGTTTTAATAGAAACAGGCAAACTTAATTTTTGAAATAAGTTGATAATAAGAAAAAACGACTCACGATAAAGATTTAAAAAAATGGGTATTGGTAAGGTCTCACCTCTGTGTCCTGGATTCTAGCTTACCCGGCCGGGGTTTCTTGATGCTCCCAAAAATGAGCTTCCGGATAGTATTATTGAGCGAAAGTACATCCGATAACCGAAATCATTGAGATCGATTGTTCTCAACGTGTCACCAAAAAACGCGGATGTAAAAGACCGTGACGCTCGTCGACTGGAGCTGTACTTTTTAACACTGTCGTAGGTTTCGTATCTCCATCGTGAGGTATAGCGCGCAAAACCCCACAAAAAGGTATATGTTTATAAAAACTCAACACTCGATTCTCGACTCTGTGATGGAGTCCTATTAATATCGATAAATAAGAATTACCCTATTCTGAACATTCCGCCCACCAAAAATAATAACTTATTTTTCCTTTCTGTCCGCAACAATACACTACAACGGCCATATGTATAACATTGAGCGTACCTATGACAAGCCCCCCCCCAAAAAAAAAAAAAAAAAATCCTATAAGTATAATTAATAATTAAGGTCGATACCTGAAATAACCAGGTACGAAACCCACGTAATAAAGAAACAAAAAAAAATTGACAGGTAATAATAACAATAATAATAGCTAAGTACCTAATAATAATAATAAAAAAAAAAAAAAAAAAATACTTAATATTAAATCCTATAAGGCCAATTATTCTATGGGCAAGGCACACAACTTAACTAAGGGCCTATCCATAAAACCTTTAGCCGTACGGACTTGCACAATTCGCACGACCTTATCGCGACTGAGATACAACTTAGTAATGCGCCCAAGAACCCATTGTAAGGGGGGCGAATTTTCATCCTTAATTAGGACGAGAGTGCCGACTGTAGGAGCCCTTTCCTCTCGGTTCCACTTATGCCTCTGCTGAAGAGTGTGCAAGTACTCCACTGACCACCTCTGCCAAAAATGTTGATGCATGTGTTGGAGTAATTGCCATCTAGTAAGCCTGTTACTATTAATTGATGTGAGGTTTTCATCCGGAGGAGCCGTTAAAGGCTCCAGGGTTAGAAAATGTCCTGGGGTAAGACAAGTAAGGTCGTTGGGATCGGAACTCAGTCTACATAAGGGTCTTGAATTCAAGACGGATTCGATTTGAACAACAACGGTAGATAGCTCCTCGAATGTAAGCACCTGCGTACCTACAACGCGTCGCAAATGATTCTTTACTGACTTCACCGCCGCTTCCCATAATCCTCCAAAGTGAGGCGAAGCCGGAGGATTGAAATGCCACCTAATAGCGAGGCATTGCGAAAACTGTTTTGAATATTGCTCCAATAAATTATTTGCGCCCACAAAATTTGTACCCTGATCGCTATAAAGGTCAGAGCAAGCGCCTCTACGACCGACAAATCTTCGAAGAGCCGCCAGAAATGCTACCGAAGATAGGTCCGAAACAACCTCCAAATGCATAGCCTTGGTGGCTAGGCAAACAAATACGCAAATATAACCCTTCTGACTGCAAATCCCGCGTCGCCTTCCCAGAGTTATTTGCACCGGACCCATAAAATCTATTCCAGTGTGACGAAAGGGTTTTATTTGAGAAAGACGTGCAGAGGGCAAATCGCTCATGAATGGCGAAAAGGAAGTAGGTCTCAACCGAAAGCATATCACACACTTTGACAGAACATGACGAATAGCCCGCCGGGCGGAAAGAATCCAGAACTGCTGCATCAAGAGATATTCCAGAGTTTGCAGTCCAACATGGCAATGCTCACGATGGAATGATTCAATAACAAGGTCTGTGATTCGATGAAGCCTAGGCAAGAGCATTGGATGGTTTGCTTCAAAGGGAAGCTTTGAATTTCTTAGACGTCCGCCTACTCGAATAATGCCTTTCTCATCCAAAAAGGGATTCAACTTTCTCACAGTCTTGGAGCACCATTTACCTGCTCTAAGATTACGCAAGTCATCCGCAAATGCGGATCGTTGCGCCAACCTAACCAATACTATCAAGGCTTGGTGCAACTCAATTTGCATCAAAGGAACAAATTGTCGCGCATTAACGCGTGCTCGACAATTATCAATGAATCGCAGACAATAAGCTACAATACGCTTTATTTTTTGAAGAGATGAATATTTATTCAACAGAGCCTCAATAACATTAGGGGGGACACTGGCGATACACACTAAGATTCTCTCCTCACAGTCAACATTCTCTCCCACCACTGGAGAGAAACTACTAGCTGGCCAGAGCTCACTGACCTCTTTAAGCCATGGTGGCCCCGCCCACCATAACGGATGGTCGCAAAGCTGACCAGGCAAAATGCCTCTGGAAGCGCAATCGCTAGGGTTTTCCTTTCCACTTATATAAAACCAACGGGAGGGTGGAATGATTTCCTGAATTTTGGCAACACGATTAGCCACGAAACTTTTCCAACGATGGGATGATGACCTCACCCAGCTCAGAACAACCGTTGAGTCAGACCAAGCAAACACATTATCTATCTGGACAGTCGTAAAAGATGCCATCACAAATTCAAGAAGTTCGCACAACAGAACAGCCGCACACAATTCCAGCCGGGGTATAGACAATCGCTTAAGTGGGCTTACTCGGCTTTTAGCGCATAATAGGGTGACAAAGACTTCATTCGACACGTTCACTTGTCTTAAGTACACCACGGAAGCGTAAGCCTTTTCCGAAGCATCACAAAATGCGTGTAACTCAGAAAGTAGCACATTATCTACAGTTGCCCTTCGAGATACACTCACACTGGCCAAACCAGGCAGCTGAGAAACAAAGGAATCCCACTGAGCGACAACCAAATCCGAAGGACTCTCATCCCATCCCAATCCTTCAATCCACAACAACTGAATTAAACATTTAGCAACAATGACTACTGGAGCCAGAAAACCCAACGGGTCGTATATCTTAGCAATCTCCGACAGAATATTGCGCTTCGTGCAAGATCTATTAATGGACTTTACACAATACGAAAAACAATCTGACAAGGGCGCCCACTGAAGGCCTAAAACCTTGATACCAGAGAACTCCCTGTCTTCAAAGGAAAAGGGTTGGTGGTGTGAATTTGGCACACCAGAAAGTACCTGAGGACAATTGCTGCTCCATTTTCGCAGTTCAAATTCTCCCAAGGCTAATAAAGATACCAATTGTCGCTGGGCTTCCAAGGCACCCTCTACAGAATCTGCCATACCAATTGCATCATCCACATAACAAGAATTGGTAAGAATATCCACAGCCAATGGAAAGCTAGTCCCCTCATCCTTACAGAGCTGTAGCAATGTGCGAATGGCCAAATATGGGCTAGAAGATAATCCATAGGTCACTGTATTCAGCCTGAATTCCTGAACCGGTTGGGCAGGAGATGACCTCCACAAAATTCTCTGATAGTCTCTGAATTGCTCGCTCACCAAAATTTGGCGATACATTTGCCGAACATCGGCCGTGAAAACAATTTTGAAACGACGAAAAGACAACAAAATTGTAGCAATATCATTCTGGAGCTTTGGTCCTGTCAACAAAAGTTCGTTGAGTGACACACCGCTCGAAGTTTTGCAAGATGCATCAAACACCACCCGCAACTTATCACTGTCCGCCTTTATGACTCCTCGATGAGGGATGTAATATTTCTGATCAAGCGTTACATCACGAATGCTATCATTCACTACGGACATGTGTCCTTGATCAATGTAATCCTTCATAAATTCCTGGTACTTTTCACAAAGTATGGAATTTTTGCCAAGACGAGCTTCCAACAACTGAAATCGCCGCAAAGCTACATTCCTGGATTCTCCCAACAATACAGAACTGTCCTTGCGGAATGGGAGTGGTACCACATACCTTCCAGTTTCAGTGCGGGTACAATCTGCTTGGAACATAAGTTCACATAATTCATCCTCTGGGGACACGGACTTAGATTCGGGTACACATTCAATTTCCCAAAACCTTTTTAAAGTATCATCTAGTTCAGTTGCATGAGTTAACATGCTGTATACCTTCTGTAAAGGGGTATTTTGAATACTTCCCATGAGCACCCAACCAAACACGGTGTTCATGGCACAAGGGCCACCATTTCGAGCTTTAATAAAACCCGGTTGCAGAATTTCACCAAACAAATCTGCACCCAGCAAGATATCAATCTCATTACTCCTTTCAAATTCAGACTCAGCAAGACACAACTTCTCGAGATATTTCCATCTTCGA